GGGGGGGTACTCCCATATATTTGCTATACGGGGACGTGCCGCTGGCCAGGGTATGGTTTTTGGCCTTGCTGTCTTAAACAGGGTATACATTTCACCCGAAATTGTCTTAAACAGGCTCTACAATTTAGATAAAAGACCGAGATAATTTTTTTGTGTGTCTTGGACAGGGTAATATTTTCGTAAGAAATACCGTAGAAATAGTAGAAATAACGTTTCACTGTAACAGGATTAACGTGTTGTCAGTAAAAGTACAGTTTTGATGGTTACGGCGTAGATACCGATTGCTTATTTTTCCAATTTGTCTCAAACAGGGTATGGATTTTTACTTTCTAGTGTCCTTTAAAAACAGGGTCAGGGTTTTAGACCGCTGGCAGCACGTACCTATCCAAAACGGGGTCAAGTACCCCCCCTCCCCTCCACCCCCTCCCGGGGAAAGAATATGTCCATGAGAAGAGGATAGGAGACGAAACGAGCTAAGACAGGAGTTGAGAGGTTAGTCGAGCAGAAGGAGAGTAGAGTTGACGACACAAGAGGAGACTGGACAAAAGGAGACGAGATAAGAGGAGAGAAGAAGACTGAGAGTTTAGTTTTGGTCTAAACTAAAAAATAAACAATTGATGGTTTTCAACCATTCCCAGGAGAGAAAGTTAAACAAAAGATGTCHGCCATTGCTGGTGGACCTGACAAAAGAAAACCACCACCGTGACTGGTGGACCTTTTTGTTTTGCTCACTCTCATGGGAATGGTTGAAATCCATCAATAGAAAAAATAAGAGAGTTGCTTAAATGAAAATGTGTTTAAATCCAGGCAGACCAGGACGCTGAGGGTATTCTCATCCAAAAAGTTCATTTTTTTGATAACAAGGACACCATAGATTTTTTAATGGAGGTACGTATTSYAGTTTTTATGCGGATTTAACTAACATGTCCGGACGATGAAATAGTGCTTTTCCAAATCGATGCTGAACAAAAAAATAATAAAAGCTAACTATCTGTATATCATAGCTCATTGATTTAATTACATTCAAAGAAACTGTTCCCTCCATACTTGCAGAAACTATCAAAAGGTTGGAGAAATTTGCATATGATAAATTCTGCTTGCGGAAATTTGAATAATATAGTCTGAACATTGTATTTTTTTAAAGAGCATAATGATCACACGCATTTTCATTTTTCTTCTTTTCCTAGAGGCCTGATGGAATTTTTGCACTTGTCGAACAAGAAACAAAGTCAATGAAAGCCAATGATGCTGGTTTAGTAAAGAAGTTCTCCACTAAACATCGGAAGCACCATTGTTACTCGGATGTAACCAAGTYTTCTTTTCCAGCGTTTGCAATAAGTCACTATAACGGACAGGTACAGCGTCATCGGTATCATTATCAAGTTATTAACAAATTCATTATTGCCACGTTTTAATCAACATCATCTTACGTTTATACTGATTTCATTAACATCGCATTTTTTTCCTTTCGGTCGTTCGACTCATAAAAAATGAAAGTAATGCTTTGCATTCAATGACAAATCTTAATATAATTAATCGGCCAAAGCGTTTTCAACCCAATTCAAACCACCCGGGATCGGAGTACGTTACATTTTCCGTTGTATTTTTATTTGACATTTGAATTCTTAACAACAAAAGTTCTTTTACCCACAGGATTTTAATAGGCGATATGCATTATGGCGTCATTTACTACAACTACCAGAATGCTTTGCCAACTTTCTTTTGTAATGCAATTAGTGCCCATTGTTTTATTAATCTTTAAGGAGATTAAAAATCTGAATAACAATGAAAATGCGCAAGGCTCTCTGGTAGTATTGTAGTAAAGTTACGTCATGATGCAAACAGACTATTGCATGGGTGGTAATGTGTGCATAGCAACGCGTTAGCCGATTAGGTGTGCTATAACAATGCCTAATCAATAATTAAGCCTTCTAAAGTTTAAAAAGAGGAGTATTTACCAATCAAAATAAACTCACTTCGATGAATAATCTTTTAAATCAACTCGTGGMATTTCGACTCTTTTGGGCAAGAGCACAGGACATACAATTGAAACGATTTTCTTTCCATGCAGAAATAACTCAAAAACTGGCATTTTTATGCCAGATCATAGATCGTTTACGTGGGCTTCCTGTAGCTGCGACAATGGTCAGCTGCCGCCATTTAGCTATAAGTATTTCATTTTAACGATAGAGAGTCTTTGCTTGAAATAGTTTAAGGCAGAATTAAGGTGGATCACAACTAATGAAACGCAAATTTTGTACTTTTTTAACTCGCAAAATGATTTAGGCAAAAGTGCTGAAATTTTGATATAGGATGCAGTGATTATTGCCGTTTTTGTAAGTTGTAAGGATTCATAGTAATTTTGTGACTGGTTTTAAAGATACAGCACATCATCAAACAGTGTCAATTTTAGTTTTCGACGATTTACTCTAAAGCTAACATTCGGATCATCTAGAAATTTTCAGAATTTGTATATCTTATCAAAGTACATAAGGGCTGCGAATTTGGTTGGAAAATCTCCGACAGAAATAAAGATATGAAAAAGGCTCAAAAATGAGCCCAGAATATGGCCTACATAAAATAAACAGCCGTATAGAAATAAATGATCTTGCGTTATGTTGTACATGAATTGGTCAAAATTAGTGTGCAATTAGTTCTATAAGTTTCAAATTGAAAGAATTACACTATTTTTACTAGAAATGAATACTATATCTACCTACTATTAAAAAGACGAATTCAGTTAATTAACAGAAGAAATCAAAGTTGCGAAACATTTTTTATGTTCGCGTAGATCAACATTTTCGGTCCGTAGTCAGTGCAGAGTTAAGTTCAAGGCATCTAACGTCTACTTTAAACAAAGGTTGTACTCACATATTTACAAATCAGTTCCCGGTAAAGAAAGAAAGCTTGTTTTTGATGCCTTGTCGAATGTAAGAGAGACGAAGCGACATGAAGATTGGGTTGATCAGAGATTGGAG